ATAAACATGGGTGTGCATATATCTGCTTGGATGTCAGTTATGGTCTCTTTGGGATATATTCCCAGTAGTGGAATTGCTGGGTCAAATGCTATCTCTATTTGCAACTTTTTGAGAAAACACCATACAACCTTCTACAGTGGTTGCCTTGCCAGCATTTGTTGCTTGCTGTTCTGCTAAATTTTGCTGTTCTGACCGGGGTGAGATGATATCGCATAGCTGTTTTGATTTGCATCTCTCTTAGAGTTAGGGATTTTGAACATTACTTAATGTGTTTGTTGGCCATCTGAATGTCTTCTTTGGTGAAGTGTCTATTCATATCCTGTGCCCATTTTTCAATTGGATTATTTACTTTATCTTGTTGTGGTGCTCAAGTATTTTATAAATTCTAGATATAAGTCCCTTATCTGACATGTCATTACCAAACACTTTTTCCCAGTCTGTGACTTCCCTTTTAACCCTGTTGGAGAAGTTTTTGGATGCGCATAGGGATTTGATTCTTAGAAGGTCCCATTCATCTATTTTATCTTCTCCTGGTTTTAGATATTTTTTTTTAAATGGGAGAAGGAGCCAAAGCAGTGGCTAGTCTTTATTAGAAAGAAGGAAACATTCCAGCACATTTAGACTACGTCAGTGGGAGCATGAGCACAATTAGGGGCTCACTCAGTGAGCTAACTGGTGGGGCACCAGCTTGTAATGGGTCCCACAATTAGGGCATCGCTGTGCATCGCCTTTGTGTAGCCAAAACCAGATCACAACACTGTTGTCTTCTTCACAGATGCAGCCTACTATTCGCTTATTGGTGATGGAGGGAACAAAATTAGGATCTTCCTTAGTGCCTACAGCTGCCTTTGGAGCAAGCATATTGTACGGATCCTGGCCTTTCCGGGCAGCCATCATGACCTCCCGCTCCAACCCTGTCGCCTGATCATCATCGGTAGGGACACCACCGCCAGACACCATCGAGAGCACGACGGCGATGCCATTGGGACTGCGGGCCCTCGAGGCTTGAGCGGCCAATGCTCCAGCTCCACGAAATAATCTTGAAACCTGAAGCCAGAAGCAGCAGCAGTGCCGGAAGGACGCTCAGGATCAGGTTGTGGATTTTTCAGCATACTTGGAAGACTGTTTATGTTGTGGATTAGGACTTTTAGAGTTCTTCCAAGCTTTTCTTGAATGAAGTTTATAGTCCTTGGTTTTAGTCCAAGGTCCATGATCCACCTTGAGTTGGTTTTTGTATATGGAGTGAGGTGTGGATCTTGCTTGAGTCTTCTGCAGATATTTTTTTCAATTTTGCCAGCACCATTTGTTAAAAAGGCTGTCATTTCTGCACTTAACTGATTACATTTCCTTGTCAAAAATCATTTGACCATATGTAGATGAGCTGATTTCTGCGCTCTCAATTCTATTCCATTGATCTATGCGTCTGTCATTGAACCGGTACCATGCTGTCTTAACCACCACAGCAGTGTAGTAGGATTTGAAATCAGGGAGTGAGATGCCTCCTACCTTTTTTCTTTTTTTGAGGAGTGCTTTGCTTATTTGGGGCTTCTTTCCATTCCAAATGAAACCGGAGATTACCTTTTCCATCTCCTTGAAGAATGGGATTGGTATTTTAATTGGGATTGCATTGAACATGTAAATTGCATCTGGTAGTATTTCCATTTTCACAATATTGAGTCTTCCTATCCATGAGCAAGGGATATTCTTCCACTTCTCCAGGTCTCTTTTTGTTTCTTGTAGTAGTAATGTTTTGTAATTTTCTTTGAATAGATCCTTTGTGCTTCTAGTTATATTTACTCCCAAATATTTTATCTTGTGATTAGCTATTGTGAAGGGTATTGCTTTTCTTAGCTTCAGCTCTGTATTCTCTTAGTCTCTGTGGAGAAACCCAACTGATTTTTGTATGTTGATCTTGTATTCTGCTACTCTGCTGAATTGGTCAACTACGTCCAATAGTTTTCTTGCTGACTCTTTAGGATTTTCTAGGTATACTATCATATCATTTGCATAGAGAGATAATTTTACCTCCTCCTTGCCAATTTGGATTCCTCCTATTTCCTTCTATTGTCTTACTGCTCTCGCTAAGACTTCCAATACAATATCGAATAAGAGAGGTGAGAGTGGGCATCCTTGCAAAGTTCCTATTCTTAGAGGGAATGCTTTTAACCTCTCTCTGTTGAGAACGATGTTGGCTCTTGGGTTTTCATAAATACTTCCTGGATCATTTAACATTCTGCCAAAAGCATTCTTGATTATAGCAACTCGAGATTTGAATTTGTTCTTCAGTTCCTTCAGCTTAAGAAATGCTGAGCGAGTTCTGCCCTTTTGATTTTCTGACCTCAAGTCCTTGCTCATACAATGTATTTTATATAATTATTATTGACCTATGTCTATTATTAGAAAGGTGAAACCAGGCTGCTCCCTGGGGGCAAAGACTTTGAGGCTCCATTTCACATACTTTGGACATGTGCCCAGGAGGGACAAGTTGTTGGAGAGTGACATCACGCTTGGAAGGATGGAGGGATAGTGTGGGAGAGGAAGACCCTGGATGAGATAGATTGACTCAGTGACTAGAGAAATGGGATTAGTTCTGTTAAAGACAATGAGGTTGGCTCAGGATAGGGCAGATTTCAGAGTTAGTGTACAAAGAGTCACTATGTGTCAGAGGTGACTCAATGCACATAACAACAACAGTAACATCATAATGCCCTTTATTACCTCATCCCCTCAAATCCCCATTTAATCCTTCCCATTCCTTCACCTTACTAAACTTTGCTATCCTAGTGATCTTCATCCTTCCCCTTTTTCTGCTCTCTTTCCCCCTTTTCCTTCTCTTGTTGGTATTTATACACATCTTTTTCAGTTGTCCTTCTATTTATATGTTATATATGCTATATTTATCCTTATAATACTGAGTTAGTTCACTCAGAATAGTGCTTTCTAGATTATCCCATGTGTTATAGTGTTTTACAAAATTGTTTTTCCTCAGTGCTGCATAATAGTCCATTGTGTGAATGGACAATCATTTTGGTTTTGTTTTTCTTTTTTTAATTGCCAGATAGTTGATGAATGTTTCTACTATTTCCATTTTCTTGCTATTGTGAATGATGGTATGAACATAAGTGTACATATCTCTGTTGGAGTCTCAGTTTTCCTTAGAGTCTATTCCTAGCAATGAAATAGGTAAGTCATATGGGATTGCTATGTTCAGATTTTTAAGGAAATGCCAAACTGTCATCTACAGTCCTACACTTCTAGAAACTCATTAAGAATGTGTAAGGATTCCAATATCTCTGCATCACTCCAAAATTTACTGCTTGCTAGCTTGTTAAGCTTTGCTATTGTTATTGCTTTTCTGATTTTCATCTCTTTTATTGTCAATAATTTTACAATTTCTGAGTGTGTTCATTGACCATATGAAGTTTTCCTTTGTGAAGTCTTTTCATGCTTTTTTGCCCATTTTGTTTAACTCAATAGTCTTGTGGAAGCCTTGTAGTATTCTGTAAACTTTTGTTGTGAGACCCTGGTCAAATATTTTTTTCCAGTCTGTAAAGTTTTTCCCCTTATTAGAAAAAGGTTCGATTCACAAAGACATAATTTTTTAAAAGGTAACAATTCTTTCTTATCGTTTTTTATTTTGTATTGGTTTGCTTACGATGTTCATATACTTGTGTTTCACAGTATTCTTCATTCACATTGTGTTTAATACAATCATTTAGATGCGTTTTGTTTTATAAAATTGATCATCATTGGACTCTGCCTTTTCAAGTCCTTGATGGATTTTTCTCATTTCTTTACCCACTCCCTCCATACACCAAATTGTGAAACCCTGGGATTTCACCTCTACCCTTCCTCACCCCTTTGCTCCCACCTCTTCCCCCCTTGGATAGACCCTGCTACTCCACTACTAAAATTATACCCAAGTAAATTAGAACTGAGTCATGCTCAACTCAGTGCAATAAATAACAACAAATTAGAACTGAGACACAAACCAAGATTTGTATACCAGTGTTTATAGAAACATTATTCACTATCACAAGAATAAAAAAAAAAAAAAAGCTCAAATGTCCAACCAAAACTGACTGGAGGGAGAAACTGTGGTGCATTCACACAGCAATGGAATACTATGTAGCACTCACAATCAACAATTTTGAAAAATACTATACAACTTAAGAGAGACTGAAGAGCATTATGCTGAGTGAACTACTCAGTCTCATAAGGTCAAACAGTGCATAAGACCATTACTGTAAAAATAGGAGAAGATCTCAAATTTCTCTTCTCTGGGTTGTGCATTTCTGGCTATATTTGCAAGCCTATTTAGGCTTTGTTGTTGTTGTTGTTAGGTGCCTTTAGTTGAGCAAGACTCATAGCAATCCTATGAATAAAAGATCTGAATGTCCCTGTTCTATCCTTTTCCATCCTGATGTATGATGCACAAGAGCCCATTATGACCATCACCATGTCAGTCTACCTGGTCGAGGGTCTTCCTCTCCTTTGCTGACTCTCCATCCTTCTAATCATCATGTCCCTCTCCAAGGAATTGTGCCTCCTAGCAACATGCGCAAAGTATGTGAGGTGAAGTCTTATCATTTTTGCTTTCAAAGAGCATTCTGGCTGTACCCTCTCCAAGGCATATCTGTTTGTTCTCTTGGCCGTCGATGAGACGTTCAGTGTTCTTCTCCAGCACTATAGCTCAAATGCATCAATTCTCCTGTTATACTTATTCATCATCCAGCTCTCAGATGCATAGCAAGTGATCAGAAAGACTATGACCTGAATCAGACATACCTTAGTTCTCAAACTGACATCATTACTAATCAATAATTTGGAGAGGTCCTTAACTGCAGATTTTCCCAGAGCCATGCATCTCCTTATTTCCTGACTGCTGATAGTAAGAGTATTAATTATGGATCCAAGCAAGATGAAATGGTTGACAGTTTCAATATCCTCTCCATCCATCATGATGTTGTCTGTCAGTTCAGTGGTAAGAATCTTTGTTTTCTTCAAATTGAAATGCAATCCGTAATGAAGATTGTATTCCTTGATCTTCTGCTAGGGCTTTTAAATTTGGTCCCATTTTATCTCTTGTGATTGTTATAGTTTTGGAGTTTACCTCTTATCCATTTTGAGTTGATTTTTGTGTAAGGTGTAGATATGGATGCTATTTCCGTTTTCTCCAGGTAAATGTCCAGTTTTGTCAGCATCATTTGTTGAAGAGGTTGTCTTTTCCTATTTAATAGGTTTTGATTCCCTGTCATACTAAGTTACTATAGGTTGATGGATTAATCTCTAGATTCTCAATTCTATTCTTTTGGTCTACATATTGTCATTGTACTAATACCATGCTGTTTTTGTTACTATGGCTGTGTAGCAGATTTTGATATCAAAAAAATGTTCTTCCTTATACTTACGTTTTATTTTTTCAGGAGAGCTTTGCTTGTTTGGGTGTCTTTCTAAATAAATTTGCCATTCCCCCCCCCCCATCTCTTTGAAAAATGAGCTTGGCATCAATACTGGGATTATGCAGAACATGTAGATGACTTTCGTAGGATTATAATTTTCCTATCTTGAATCTTCCTATCCAAGAATAATAAATATTTACCTATTTAATTAAGTTTTCTTGTTTCTCATAGTCATGTTTTCTAATTTTCCTCAGAAAAGTATGTTAAGTCTCTTTTGTTTTGTACCATCAAGAACTGACCCTCTTGCTGGTTTTCAGAGGCAGTAAATTACATGGCAGGAGATTGCTCATCATTCTACCATGGAGTACCTTTTGGGTTTGAACTGCCTGCCTTTGTGTTGGCAATGCAATTTGTAAGCCACCAGGGCTCCCTTTTGTGTTTCTAGTTAGATTGATTCCCAAATATTTCATCTTTTGCTTGGCTATTGTAAATGATACTGTTTTTTGTTTGTTTGTTTTCTGTGTTCTTTGATGCAGTAGAGAAATTTCACTGATTTTTTTTTCATTTAAATCTTGTATCTGGCCATTCCAGTAAACTGGGCTACTGGATATAATCTTGCTTGCTGAAACTGAGGACGACCTGAGA